GATCACTTTCTAATTTCAACAATGATGTTCATTTAAAATATAATTTATTTGTAGCTAAAATGCAATTTATAATTTGATGTTATTATCATTTAAAATTATTATTCATTAATTTTAAACCACTTATTATTAATAATAAGTTAAAGAAAACTTTTAAGAAACGCTTAATATTATTATTAAAATGTGAAACATACACTAAATACTAAAGTGATAAGATAGACAATTTACATTTCAAAAGAGACTTTCATGGATAATATGACATATCCATGATTTTTATAATTTGATTTTATTATTTATAATTATTGTTCATTAATTTTAAAACCACTTATTATTATTAATAAGTGAAAGAAACTTTTAAAAAACACCTATTATTATAATTAAAATGTTAAACATATACTAAAATATAAAGTGATAAGATAGACAATTTGCATTTTAAAAGAGACTTACATGGATAATATTGATAATATGACATATCCATGATTTTTAATTAATTATTGTTTTGAAGCAACACGAACATTAAAAACATGTATACAATAGTTAACTAAATATTATATATATGACCTTCCATAACATATGATTGATAACATGAATCTAATCTAATTTACATTAAAATTTCAACCACAACATACAATGATATTTTTAAAAGAATACTTAAACCAATAAAATATAAAAAAGAATTAGTATATAACAAACTTACAAATTAAAAACTTCAACATAATAACATGGCTTGAAAAATTGTCCAAATCCTTCAAACCAACACAAAAACCTTTAAACTTTATTTTATTTGTGAATTTTGTATGTGATTTGTATTTGTGTGTCTACTCAAAGAGATTGACATTTTTATAGTAGTTATTCATTAATTGTTATTAAATATATTATATAAGTTATAAACCTTTGAATTGTTAATCATTATTAAGAGACTTTTGAATGATATTCTTTAAAATATGAGGTTTCAAATTCATGAGGTGTTTGCAAATTTTTATGGGGGTTTCAAATGCATGAGGTTCAAGGGAAAATATCTCCTTTGTAAGTATAGTATGATATGTGCAACACACCGGTATGAAAAAAATCACCATCTAATAAGGTTTTACTCATAGTTTTAGTTTATTGATGGCGTTTGTATTATTAAAAACGCTATCGACTGACATTGAAAAATAGAATTTTCTAACTTATATTCCACTAAAACGTCTAGTATAATTTTTCGTAAATTCATATTTATATGTGGATAATCGAATAATTTAATTGTAATGGTCCGCTTCATCATTAGCCAATATTCGGTGTGGAGCCAATGCACGATAATAACTAAGAAGGAACTAACATTTCCATAGCATAAATCATGTGACGTCTCATTTTTCAAACCAAAATTTTTATTTTTCAAATATAAATTAACATCCAAAACCATGTTTCATAGAAATCTCAAGTACCAAAAGGTTAAAATCAAGATAAACTAGTAAAATATATTAGAAATTGTGGAAGCCAAAAATCATAATATATTGGAGATGCACATGTGTCACGGTCAAGCTGGAGTCTTCCACTGCCAGAACCACAACCTGGAAAATATATAATCCACAACTGTAAGCATAACGTTTAATGAGTTCCCCAAAATATCATATACCCACAACAATAATTATACATGTCAATAATAGGCCTATGTGATTTCGTCGTCATCCCAAAGCCTGTTTAGCTCACAACTCTGTATAATTCTTGTTATCATTCCTACGGTAATATTCAGCTTATGACTCCGTGTCATTCTTGCTATCATCCCTATAGTCATGTTTAGCTCACGACTCGATGTCGGTCTTCCTATCATCCCAACGAAGCATAAAAACATACAAGTAAATAAACAAGACCCTACCAGTCTAGCTAGGCATACAATCCTATCATAGAATTACATAAGCATCCAACACCCAAAGGATCTAGTCATGACATAATTAATTTAGTGAGAAGACTCGCCTGGATTAAAGAGTTGAATCCCAACTACTTGAAGTCCCAAAGAATCAGCTACACGAACCGCCTAAAACAATCAAAGGCTAAAAGTCTACAACTTAAAACCTCCAGTTTGACCAAAAGCCAAATGGGTCAAAAGTCAACGATCAACAATTAATGGTCAACCGTTGAGCATATCGTGACCAAGACTATGTCACGCCGAGAATCATAAACCGACAAAATAGTCAAAAAAACCCCATAAGTCGCGACGTGACCTCTAGTGAGTCGTGCCGTGAACTCCGACCAAAATTCTATTTTTCATTATGCACTTAATCCCTTTAGATCAAGGCTCGCAACTTTCCAGATCACTTCAAAATAGACTTAATGGATAAAGTTTCCAACTTTATCCATTTGCATGTCTCAGACACACCTTTCTGGTAACCTAGGTTTAAAATGGGACCCAAAATGCTACTAGAAACATGCATGGACCAGATAGCAAGATAGAAACCTCTCTTTTTTACCATTATGGGTTCAAAAGTCAACTAGACACAACCTTGAACCTGCAGTTTTCCAAATACCAACTAAATATCAACCAAGGGACCAAAACATGCTTAAAAAACTAGATCTATAAAGAAGAATGCATAAAGCTTGGAACTTGAGGGCACACAAAAGTGTAGAATATGCTTAGAAGGTTGAAATGCTTATGGATCTAACTTCTTGACAACACTAATCTCTTGCTTCTTTCTCAAGCTTCACCAAAATGCCTTAACATCACCAAAAAGGGATGAAAAGGGCTAGAGTTTCGAGGTTAAGGTTCTATGAAGATGGAGTCTGCCAAATGAGGCAAACCCTAGGAGTTAGTGTCTTTAAATAGGGCCCAAATGCCGAGAATTAGGGTTTCTCATCTCATTAAGGTTGCGCCGTTTCTAAGACCATGTCACGTCATGACATTCATTAAAGGTAGTGTCGCGACCAGCCCAAGGTCGCGCCGAGCATCCGTCAAACCCTTAAAACTTATAAATATATTCCAATTTAACACTTACAAACATTCCTGAAAATCGAATGTTACAATTCCAAACGTTACAAGTAAGTGAAGCAAGATTATTGTAGTTTGCAAAGCCTACAATTATTTCAGATTTCGCTTGGGCCTAAAGTCTAATCGCATCGCGTCTGAGAGTGGTACGACTTATAGGTTACAACAATATATTGCATTTAAAGTTTCAATTTGATTATTTATGTAAGCAGACGGTTGCCGAAAAGGTCGAATGGAAGTGCTTCTTGGATGACAAGTTTGACAAATGCTTCTCGTACTGCATCATTATTGTAAATAAATAAATATCCGTTTTGATAGTAGTTTGCGATGAATTTGTATTGCCTTCTTTGATCACGTTGCATGAAGTATCTTTATAACTCTTCAAAGTAGTATTTACGAGGCGGCATAAAACCTCCAACATCGTTTGCACCGATCCTTCTTCATTAAGTCATTCATAATGAAATAATCAAAATAAGAGCAAACATTTGGGTTTCTATTTGTCAGTTTAATTCCCCTAATATCATCGTTCGTATGGTTTCTTAAAGTTGTTCGGGTACCTATGGAAGTGGAAGCAAAAGTTTGTGAGGATGCCATTTTTAGCTTTGTAATGTCAGGAAAAGATGTCGAGATTGCAAAAAACATCGAGAATAGGTATTGTTTTTTTGCACGGGTTCCAGAAAGTTGCTGTTTTTTAACCTGCACAAAAAAACTAGGTTTTCTGGTTAAAAACCTGGTTTTCAATAAACCAGTTGACATTTTTGAAAACCATCGGTTCAGTTATAAACAGACCTGTTATGTAAACTAACCGGTCCGGACATTAATTTCGCGCGGCTTTTGAAAAAACCGTTTCGGATGTGATCTTATGTTCGACTTGGGTGAACCACTATGCATATGCGTGTTTGTTCTCTGTATTAATCCTTAAATGTCATGTTAACACATTTATATGTTTCATAAGTGATTAAGATATTATATCGACACTCAACTTTGTGATATTTTTATAGTGTATTTTTGTGTTGCGTTAAAGTTTAGATAGTTTCATATCTAGGTACCTTACCTCAATGGTGCCTATGAAACCAAAATAAAAAAACATAACAAAATCGGTTATTTTGGAACTAGAAACCAAACGTTTTTCGATTGGTTCCGGTTTTAGGCAAACCCAAAATGATTTTTTGTTAAAAAAATAACATATTTTTTACTATTTATAAATTTTCGAGTTGGTTGATATGATTTTGATAGACCTAAAATAATCTGAAGGCAATTGTTCTAGATGACAATTAATGGTATTCTCGACCACAAATGTGCTCAATTTATAATTAAACAAAATCTATAGGAACTTGAATAAAACACAAGGATGATTTTGAGTTTTGACATAAAAATTCAGCAAAACGTGAAGATTTTGAGATGGTTTGAATACAGGTCATGAAGATGATTGGGTGCCAAAGAAGAATAGTGGCATAAGTCGGATGGTTTAAAAGTACATTGACATGGTGTTTACCAAAAAGAACTGTAATCTTAGTATGACAAAATTGAGTAGTATATCGTTAGTTTATAATGTAAAATATTAAAACAGAATTTAATACTATACCTTTAAATTTTATATAGTGTTAAAAATTAATTTTTCTTGGAAGAACGCAATTGAAAGAGATAGAGATAGAGCATACCTGAAAGAAATTCTCCTTTTTCTCCGCATTGAAGACCCAACTGCGAAGCAAGTTTCACACAACCATGGAAAAAGAGCAAGCAACAGGAAAGCATTATACAAAGTCTTTTTTTTTTTTTTACATTTTTTCAAACTCTTTAATTATCTACATTATGTCACACACACACACAACAAGGCAGAAGTCTTAAAAGATAAATTTAAAAAAAAAAAAAAAAAAAAAAAAAAAAAAAAAAAAAAAAAAAAAAAAAAACTTGAAAATAAACCTAATAAAAGGGTAGTTTTCCCCGTCTTTTTCCCTATGATGAGTTTCTGTCTTGTAAGTTAGATGTAACGATTAACCAGATAATGAAACTAGAACTGTCTTTATACATGTTTCCAGCATCCTCAAGCTGCTAGAGGGGGAAACTCCTCTTCATTCTTGAGGAACAGGTTCTCGGCTTGACCACTGAAAACATGCAAATAAAACACGATATAAAAAAACGAACCAGAAAAACAAAAAACCAAAAACAAAACACGAAAGAGTAATTTAATTTACCTTCCCTGACTCTGACCACATGAAACATATTTAGGAGGGGGAGCCTGTGAGCCAGAAGTACTTGCTTCTGGATTAGTAGCTTTAGCACCAAAAGTTCCAAACTCAAGTTTCCTTTGTGAGTACATGACCTGCTTGAGTTTCCCACGAGTCTGCTCTTGCTGACGGTTACGTGCTGCTGGTCTGCAACCCCTTCGCGGTCCTGGTCCTCCTCTGGAGATATTCTGCAAGTACCCATTGTCAGATAAATGGGTTCAAGCAGTCTGGTCCGGTCCAGTCCAGTCCAAACTGGACCGGACTGGACCAGAATAAAAACAGGAAAATGAATATATATATATATATATATATATATAATATATATATATATAACATACCGTGGCAGGGATGTATGAACCGGTTCCACGAACCGTGCTTCTTTCTTCCAACTGGAACTGTTGACCGGTTTGTCTGGAGGTTTGACCATTTTGATACACCACACCATTTGAGTTCACCTGGGGAGATGGCGGTGAACTCCGACGGAACCATGAAGACCAAAAATATCGAGCAGGAGCAACCGCCACCTCATATTGCTGCTGAACAAGATGGTTATTCATAAGTAGAGAACCATTTAAACCATTATCATGCTGAAATTGACCATATAGCAGATTCCGTATACTACTTTCATAGTCTCCGGTGAGATTCGCAAATGGATTCAAACTTTCTGTTTCACCAAATCTGCCATTCACATCCGGATTTCTTAAACCATCTGCCACGTCATCATGACCACCGCCACTGTTCACCATTTTGTCAGTAGTTCTCGGACTAAGATCTTGAAATACATCAAGATCGCTTGCTTCACCAGACCCCACATAGGACACATCATCAAGATCATCATATGATAACTTTGAGTCCACGTCATCAATGTATTCGGTTTCGCTATAGGATGACAATGATAAAGTATCAAACTTTAGTGGAACATCCGGAATACACTTTGGTTTGTGCCTTTGCAAGGTGTTTGCAAAAAAATTCTTGATTCCATCTCTAATATTCTCATTCGGTAGTTCAAGAATCTCACGGAGTGTGCTCGCACCATATCTTAACGCACTCAAGATGCGGTAAGAATTTGCTGCAACAAAACAAAATGTTTTTATCATGAAAGTTGATACAACAAAAGAGGAGGTATCATGCATGAAAAACACAAAATGAACTTAATTGCGCGACAAATATAGAGATATATGACCTAGAAAAACATCGTCAAGTAAGATCTACTAAAAGGGGCCGTTTGGTTCACAAAATGTTTTAGAAGGAATTGAAATTTAAAAGAATTCAAAACTTGTCACAAGTTTGGATGTTAAAAAAATGAAATGGATTTGGAATGTTAATAATGACAAACAACACAATTAACCTTTATTGATTTTTAAAAATTACTATTTGTTTTATAAATACATACATCTATTTATTTAAATTTTACATAATAATATTTGATTATTATTACCAATCAAAATAATAATTAACAGTTTACCTTTGTGGTATATAACCATATCAAGTTATTAAGTCATTTTAGTAATTAAGGATATGGAAGTTAAATTCCTCCTTATGTTATTTTAGGAATGATATAATCAATCAAATACAAAGTATTGAAGAAATCCAATTCCATTACTTGATGGAATCCCACTTTCAATTCCTTTGGAATCTAGCAGGATCAACGACGAATCGAACGTGACCTAAATGCACATGATGAGTTACCTTGTTGAACACTGCGGCCAAGATTGTTGGTTTCCTTTAATGGATCAATTATATTAAGATGCTTCCACATGAAATGTGGCACATTTGATGTGGATTCATTAGAACACAACATGAACGTTTCCATACAAGTATTCAAGAAAGCATCGCTGAGGAAAGCACCAGTCCTTTCATTTAAAGGGTACTCAACTGAATGAAAAAAGAGTTAATTAGAATCAGAAACCGAGTATACAAACGAATATTAATTACACAAGAAACCTCACAAACAACTTATTTCTTACCAACTATGTCTAGAAGTGAAGATTTCTTAACCACACCATTCAAACTGATACAATAGTTATCCCAGTCAAATTTGCCATAATAGTCCAAGAACCTGAAAAGAGCCTAAAACCGAGCAATAAAATTAAATCGTTAGGTAATACAGACATAAATATTGGTTATAAATCCAAGTTTTTTCACAAGGTTACAAGAGATTAATTACCATTAACGGGTTGACTATAGATGCACCAAAGGCATGAAATATGTAGAGAACCAAAACTGCCAATGCATATGTCGATAGTAAACCATAAGTAGCACCGAGTACACGACTTTCATAATAACACCATGTTTTTATTAGAATGATACTTCGTTTGAAAAGATGATCTTTGCCAATTTGGCGATCGACCTGTATCAAATAAAGTAACAAAAATCAAATCAAATGGTAAATCATTTTTACGAAATATCTATTGAGTTTATATATCTGTAACCACCACACTACGTAATCGTCTCATGCATGCATGCCATGAATGTGTGTACATACATACATACATACATACATACATACATATATTATATATATATATATATATATATATATATATTAGTATATGTATATGTATGTGTATGAAAGATGGTCACACCTGCTCAAGAAAACAAAGTGTAGAAAGTCCACCCAATTGATTAAACGATATGTCTATAACAATGCCTGAAACAATGCATTTCACAAGTTTAACCTGCCACGCGAAACATTACAACATTATTAACCCTGTTGTTGAAAAATCGTATACCATATTAAGTAATATACGTAGATTCTAAATGGATTGATTTTATTTAGTTGACATAAAATGCTAGTGTAAAAATAATAATAATAAGAGCCACGAGTTTAACCTCTGCATCAATGTATGTGACATCTTTTACTTCGAATTCATTGTTTCCATAGTGTTCTTCAGCCTGAAGAAGATGAAGAACATCCCGAGGCAAAGTATATCCCCTATCAGGAGCACCAATGGCTGTAAAATCAATATCTCCATCAGGGAGATATGTCTTGAGTGGCACTGAACCATAGGTGAAGACCTACAACAAGTTAAACATTTGATGAATCTTTTAAACTCGAATGAAGAAACAAGCAGTTGTTAGCAAGAAATTAATTTATTAAAAAGTAATGTAACAAAAAATGACAAAAAGGTAAACATGTTTAAATATTTGACCATATGATATGTCATAAAAAGAAAACAAATCACAATCAGTGCTCAAAAGTTCCCAAGCATGCAACTTCTATGTATGTTCATATCGAGATTTATTTATAATCAACAAAAAAATATGAATATCGATCATTTGTCTTTACGTTCTTTATATCTAGCTTTCTTTTGTTATAAAGTAACCATCTTTATGTGTTATTCTTGTTTGCATAAAGAGCAGAAGTCATGATCTTCTTATTGAGCTACAGTTTCTCATTTCATATAGTATATTGCTATTTGACACGTTTTGCCGAAATAAGATTTTATAAAAGAGCAGTTTCTTCATTGCTCCTCAACATCTCCAAAAAGATAAAAGATCTTTTATATGTTGAAAAGTAAGATTAAGATTTTCAACCCTAACCCCGACATTGATGGTCAAAACAAAACATTAGATTGGTAACCCATATGCATAATCTACACACACACACACAAAAAAAAAAAAAAAAAAAAAAACATTCAGCTCACCGATGATGGATGAAACTGCAATAAATATAATCAATAGTAAAAAGTCAATTGGCAGATGGGATGAAGGTTTAAACTTTAATGTCTTCATCTTTTACCAAATTCATTAACTCCCATCCGAACAATCAACAAAATTCCAAATTTTTGTGTTCCAGATTATTTCGAACACGGCAATGGCATCACACCGCTCAGATTCAACTTCAAGAAATAGTATAGCAACTTTTCCACGGTGATTTATAATCAATAGCAATCATCAAGAAAATGAACCGACAATTAGCGATTAACAAGATCATGAACAAAAATTACCCCAAAATTGTAAAAGTTCCAATTTTGGTCAATTGGGAGTAATATAAGTAAAATCGGGTGTAAGAATCAAACCCTAGTTTACAAATCAAACATGTCGACGAACTCGATTGAAGAATTGGAAGAATCAAATAGAAATCACACCCCATTCTGTTTAAAAAAACAATTGATTGGGATAATAATATAAGCAGATAAATTAAAATAAAATTAAAATGATTTTAGAAAAAAGTTGACACAATCCAACACCCATATCCGAATCCGACCCGGACCAAAACGAGACCCGAGATATGAGCAACCCCTACGCATGCAAAATGTTAGAAGTTTTATTGAAATGAAATAAACCTCAACTCCGAGTGAAGTTCTGAAGAGCTTCTGCATGTATTCGATCACGTCCTTCCTCTTATCTTCGGAATCCAAAGTAGGGTAAACACAATTCAACACTTCAAGAATCGGGTCTTCACCTGCGACCCATTTCTCGTTGGGAATCGCTTCGGGATTGGGGGTAGGCACTGGTTGTGCCAACGCCGGTGGCGGAGTGAAATGCACTTTGGCCATTACTAGATAACCGAAGAGAATAAAAGTTATAGAATTATTTATAGTTTATAATTGTATATGTATCTTGATCTGTATCCAACGCTAATCCTTCTAGAAAACAACCCAATTTACATCGAATAAGGGTTTCTGAAGGTGATATACAACATACCTATATAGAAAGAAAGGGGAAAATTGGGGAAAAACTTGGAAATTTGTGAAAAAAAGGTTTATCAATGCTTCTATATATGAAACTTCTCTGTAATTCGTATTATCAGGGAAAAAGAACCTCAATCCAAAAGGCTCCTCCTCCCTCTTGTTTTCTATTTTCGTCTGTTTCTCTTACATATATATGACTGTGTATCTATAGGTTTTTTCTTGCCTCATTATGTAGATATATATGGTTTGTGGAGCGACCCCCGACACTGCACCGGAAGCTAGAGGTGGTTTTGTACAAATTTTTATTTTTCACCTTTAGCCCCTCATTTTTTAAAGTGCTCTTTAAACAGTCCTTATATTTAGAGCTACCAAATGTAGCTAGGTTCACTATTTGGATACAATTAGACAATTTAGATTGGATTGTACAGTCTTGTTCGGATTTTTGGAATGATTTGGACAAAACCGAATTAATATTTTTGATTATGGATTGATTTAGTTACTAAAATGAGAAAGGAATAGTCCAAAATGAAAATCAATTTTTATTTTTAATTGAACAAATGCAAAAAAAAAAAAAAAAAAAAAAAAAAAAAAAAAAAAAACTTACTTTTAAAACTCACAAATATACGTAAGAATAGTGGGTGTGGGTACATAACATGCCGTTGTTGCCGATGTGGATGAGCCAAAACGCCGTCGTAACGGCCGGAATACCGCCCCACCCTCCCGTTAAGATAAGCGACCTTGTAACGCCAACGGAGAGCAACAATCGTTCTTCTCTCTTCCTTCCTCTATTTTTCTAATTTTCTTCCTTTCTTGGCCTTTCAACGGCGTTTTTATGGAGGAACACCATTCCTCTTTCTTCCCGACGCCATTTTCTTCTTTCTTCCCTCTGACATGGCCTTTAACGACGTTCTACCATATCGAGTAGTCTAGCAAAGATTTTACTAAACTATCTTAATTCTAAACACTTGTCACGATCGGTAACCTTTTCAATTACTCACAAGTGGTTTTTTTCGTTGAATTTAAGTATTAGACCAAAATCTTTTGTTTCTTAATAATCAAAGTACGAACATGACATGATAAAATCTTACTGACGATTCATAAAAATCGTAATGCAATGAATAATACATGATTTGAATGCAACTAATCATGTTATAAAAGTTATGTTTTGCAACATTTTCTTGTGTCTCATTTGATATGAATGGTAGTATTATCAGTTTCTTTTTACTAAGAATAATCTGCTATTTGAATATGAAAAGAAATATATTGATAGTAGATTGTTTAAAATAATAAATTCAAACGTCTCAATATAACCGTATCGGGAGTTTGATTATCTGTTAACACCTCTTAAGGATATCAAATGTTCATTCCACATCTTTCCAAGCTGCTTCTTGGGTTGTCATAAAACTTTATTCATTTTTCGTCGTTTGACATGTGAATGATTTGATAAAGATAGATAAGTTGAGATATATTTCATTAGTAAGATGGTACTCACGCTTATATGTTATTCCATTTACTGGAAACGATACATTGTGTGACTTTTCAAGAGAGATGTCGTTGAATATTGGTGACTGGTCAAGAACATTGATGTCATTGTTTGCTCATGTGAGGCCAAAGAATGCATGTCATATCCAAATATCGTAGAACGCAATTGCTTGTAGAATTATCATCAGCTCTTTGTAATCATCTCACATGTATTGATCGCATCATGCGCTAGGGCACAATGCCCACGTCCAATGCATGCAATTAATGCTACCTAGCATTCCAAGGAACTCATGTTTTTTTTCATTTTCGTGTACAATCGGTGAACATCATTGATCGTAGGTTTGCACAAATAGTGGTCGTCGTAAACCAAAATCACAACTTTAGTGAATGTGTAAACACTTTCTCGTGTGGTCCGCTCAAACATCCTTCAATACTCATCCTATGAGTCCATTCCCTTGTCGTATGCTAATTGACGAATTGTGACAGTGCATTTTTGTATCGGAGAAAAACTTATATACCTATCGCATCTTATTTTTCAAAAATATGGAAAAACAACCCTGCAAGTCATCAATAATATGTAGAAAATAATCATTTTCTTATCCGTAACCATCGTCTAAACTTTTCAGCGTACACGACGTCATCAGCAAAATAGTATTCTACAAGACGAGTATGTCCAACTTCATGATTTCTCTTTAAATGACCTTTTATCGTTCTAAAACATGAACTTTAAAATTCTTGTTCTTGATAATACACAATTATTTTTGTCATAACTTTCTTGATAAACATTGTCTCCTATAATGCTAATGTATCCGACGAAGTAGACAATGATGATGTCATTGTGGATGAATTAATTTGAGAGAAAAAAATAGAAGGTGGTGTGAGATTAATAGTTAAAAATGTTTATATTTTGAGTGGTAAAATGTTATTAAATTTAAAAAAAAAATGATTGTTGAAGAGGATGGAGAGAGAGAGAGAGAGAGAGAGAGAGAGAGAGGTTGATCTATATGCACTACGATGTTCATATACGGTGAAATGTGTCAAATCATCCTATCGCACCATACGGTGGGGTACTCCTTTTGGCCTAAGAGAAACAATTGCAACATTAACTTCCTAGCTTTGCCATTCATTTCAGTGCTCTATCATATGTTGGTTTATAAGTCACTAGACGAGTTCTTAGAAGTTGGTCAAGAAAATATGTTATGAATGAACGGATAGTGTAGAATGTCTTCATAAGTAAAGATCAAGGGCCTATGAGAGAACTTTGAAACATTAAGGGTTGCTTCAAAGACTTCCAACAGTTTAAGGTCTCAAATGAACATATATCGTATATGTGGCATTTACAGGTGAAATAAATTATAAAATATTAAATAACTAAAGAACAGAAAATGATGGTTGGTGATGACGACATGGTTTCGTATTACTCCTCTATTTCAATGTGCTTTATACGTTACATCGCCACCGTTTGTAATTTTCAGGACTAACTTTGGTCAAAAATCAGTAGCGTCAAAAATAGATTTACTATTACATTTAATGGGTTAAAAACATATTTAACAATACATTTTAGATTAAACAGTTAATAACCCCGATTCTATAACAGATAATATGTGATAGTAATAAGATGGATGCGGTTGTAAGCTCCTTAGTTTACTTTATTTTTTTATATTTTTTATTTTAATATATCTTTATATAATTATAAAATATTTTAACTCGTGTTCACTCATTGGTTATGCTTTTATCATGTTCTTCTTTATATCAACATGTTTGATATATTATCATCATAAAATAATAATAAATGTTGTTGAAAAACTTGCAAATTACCTAAAATGAAAACAAACCAAAAATATTATTATTGCTATTATTTGTATTTAATTCGTTCAAATTTTATTGACTTTCTTTCAAAAGTCAACTTCATATATATTTGTCATAATTTCACTTTAACCTCATGTACATAACCACAATTATGTCGTTTAGGAGTCTTTATTCTGATGGGCATAGGGTAACAGCAAATACAAGTATACAACAGGAAATTATTATATTGTTGTTTGAATTTTTGTTGTCAAATAATACACGTTTAATTTAACATGTAATTTAATATAATAAAGTATGATATTTTGTTGTGGTTTATATTTAAATGTAAGTTTATATATTTCACTCATTAGTTGTGGGACCCATGTATTACATGGGTTAATTAAAAAAAAAAACTAAATATAAATGTCAAAATATTTAAAATTTTGAATTTATAAGAAAAGAAATAATGAATTATTATAATGAAAATGTTTTTATTTTTTAAATTTAAATAAATAAAAGAAACTAATAAACTTTAATTTTGAAAATTTTGAAATTAAAAGGTAAGTTCATTAATGAAATTGATATCAATATATTACTATATTTATTGCAACTATTACATTAAAATATTATTTGAAATTTAATAAAATAGAAAAACTCATAAAAAGACATGTGGACAAAAAAATAATTCAAAATAACTACAAAATAACATTTGACAAATTGAATAAGAGTGTGACAAATGACAAAAAAACATTCATTTATTATGTAGGATAAATACTAGCTTATTGCAAAATATTAATATAGATAAAAAATTGAATTATTTATGTTTGCATTGCCACAATTAGCTTTCTTTTAGTTTATTAAAAAGTAGTTTATAAAAGCATCTCCATAGTTAATCTTTCAAAAAAAATTATGTTTGTCAAATCATTTTTCCATTAACTTTTATCTGACAAAAAACTTTAATCAAATGGTTTCTCCAATGGTTAATATTTTTAAAAGTTTTTTTTCTTTTTTAAATTAACTAATTTATCGTTTATCTATCTGTTTTATTAAGCTCACTAATACAGTTTATCATTATACTAACATATGTATATTTTGTAAAAAAAAACACTATTTGACATTATAATTAAAATAAATAAAAAGTTGACATTATAATAAAAATTGATAAAGATCACCGTAATGCTGTGTCATAAAATATATTAATTTTTATTGTGTTTATCAACTCAACTAATTAACTAAATATAGAACCAAAAAATCTAATATCTAAATATAATTAATAAAATAAAATGTTGCTAAATGTACAAATGCGACAAAGCTTAAAAGAAAATTAGGAAATTAGGGGAAAAAATAAGTGTTTGGAATGACATATCAAATAAGCATTTGTCTACAATGGTAAAAATTGAGGTTGTAAAATTCGTTAGACAGTACTAAGTCGGTCGACTAGCGACTATGGTTTAATCAGTAATTAATCGGCGACTAGATAGAGACTTAAATTGTAAATTCGTTTAATTTTAAAATATTAATTATGATTAATATCATAAAAAAGTTGGTAAATACCACTAATATTATAACAAAAAATGTTAATATGATTAATACAA